TTTGAAGTTCAGCCTCTTCAATATTTTGATGAGCTTGAAGGTAGAAGGGAATCATCTATTTATTATGAGTTTTGTTCATTAAAATCCTCTATTTTTCCTTGAACCATATCACTAATAATCGGGGGGTCAACTAAGCAATTTGTTCAAGTGGCAGGCACAAAATTGCTGTTTTGGAAGATATTTTGACTTTTCTCCATTTATTTATTAATGTTAATATGTAGTGGTTAATTCTTCCTCTTTTGATCCTCTGCTCCAGGATTAATTAGAGAGTTGGTGCAGTTTTATATATAAAACTTATTTCGTATGTTATCAAATAACCCTATTATTATTCCTCAACAATAATCAAGTAAGAGAGGAAGGGAGGGAATTAAAAAAGATACTTAGAGTGTTTTAGAAAAAAAACATATCATATTAACTAATTTAACTAATATTCTTAACCTACTCAAATTAGTTAATTAGATCTTATATTAAGAACTCTTAATTTCTTTACTTCTTTTGACCTTATCTTATGATGTACTCTATCTTTTGTTTCTAATGTCATTTGGCCTTTTTTATTAACAAAAAAAAACTGTCATGGGGATTAAAAGAAAATATTATGGGAATAAGGAAAATTATATGAAAAATGACAGATTTAATTTTATTTTTCCCATAGAATTAGGATTTTTTTTGGGGGATTTTCCGGGCACATAATGATTGAGGAATTGCCACAATTTCCTCATGCGTTGCCATAGGCAGCATGTGAACATTTAATGGCTTCTAAACTACGCTTTCGATTAGTAATTATAATTTACTTCTTTCCTCAGTGGTTTTTCAACCAAACTCATATACAAATACATTACCTCCCTTACTTAATACAAAAATTAGTTGGGAAAATGAATTTATAATTTACTTTATCTTACATTTTTATCAAAATATTCCTAAAAGATTCCTACCAAAGTGTGATTCTAATGGATATGATTAAAGAAAATTATTTAGAAAAGCCAACATACATTTATCAAGTAACCAGCTTAACTAATTTTTTTTTAATTTTTAAAATTAGTTATTTAAATCTTATATTAAGGACCTGAGAAGTATATGACATATACATAGATCTAATTCTTAATATAAACGCTACATAACTAATTTATAGATTTAAAAAAAATAATTAAATTAGTTATTCATAACAAGTGTATATTGATTTTCTTACAATACTCTTTTTAATCATATGCATTGTAATTATCTCTTAATAAGACCATCATTGCTATGTATAATCAAATAGGAAAGCCTTGATGAGAAATTATAAATTTAAAACAATATGTGCAATGTAGATAGTATGAAAAAAATTATAAATTTGTAAAACAAAATGAATTGAGATTTTATGTTTAGGATTAAAGTAAAATTAAATTAGCTCTTGTCTTTAAGACTAGATGGAGTATTATTTATAAGACAATAAATTTGAATAAGAAAAAATAAATTGAAAAATGTATCCAATATGAAAAGAATCTTATTTAAAAATAGCTTTACAAAAAAAATAAATCATTAAAAAGCCAATCCTCGCGTGCATGGAGGCAGAATAAGATTTTGGTTGAGAAAAGTTGTGAGCAATCATGGTAATTACTAGCTATTAGTTAGAAGTAGAAGCCAAGAATATTCCAATCATATTATTTCAGAAGAATGTTCTCAACATTTTTTTAAAAATAAGATTGTGAGTCAAATTTTATAAATGAAAAAATTATGCAAAAAAAAACCCTTTTTAACTGAGATTAATAAAAACTTAATCCAAATTGACTGACACTATTTAATTATTCAAATCTCAATCTCAATTAGTTATAATACTAAAAAAAATGCTGAAAATTTGCCTCAAACACAATTTATTACCTAAATTTGGGTAGTAATCCAAAGCAGGTGAAACAGATTTTCAGCGGTACAACTCTTCTTTAATTGTTACTGGAACATATTTGAAGTTATTTCGTTTTTACACATGCATTCAAAAAAGATTCACACCAGACAGATGAAAATATGCTACACTTGAGTCTTTAAATAAATTTTGAGTAATATTACCTGTTCTTAATATAAGAACTAGTTGACTAATTTGAGTAGATTTAAAAATTAGTTAAGTTAGTTATTTGTAGTAAATATGTGTTGTCTTTCTTAAAATATCCTTATTTATCAAGTATATTGACTAGAACTATCATTATTATAAGAACCATCTTAAAAAAAGTAGATAAATATAAGAGACAAAGTGAATTGAGATCTTATATCTAACACTAAAATAAAAGTCAAATAAACTCTTGTATTAAGGACTGGAGGTAGTAATAAATTTTGTAATGATTTCACCAAAAATAAGTTTTGTAATGCAAAATTTTTTTAATAATTTTCGGAAAATTATATAGCTAGAAAAGAAAAAAAAAAAGGGAAAAAAAAAAAAGGAAAAAACATAATGATATAGTTGGCGGAAAAATCGTGCAATGGGTCGTCTATATAATCGTGGCGTCCAGTGGATGCGGCACCTCTTTGGACTTTTGCTTCTGGCTATTTCCTTTCTTCACTGTTCACTATATCTTGCATTTGGTTCTCCCACTTCTTCGCTGCCGGAAATTCCAATCGAGTTCGTCAAGAAGCTGCCGTTTCCTCTTTAATCGATCTGTAAGTTTCCAGAATCTGATCCTGTTTTCTACTTGGTCGGGGGGGGGGGTTTCTATTTCTCCGGGTAGCGGGTGAGGAGGCAAAAGGGGAAAATTTTAGGATTTCATTAGGATTAGGACTGCTTTGTCGAAATTGGGTTCTGGAATCCGTTCATATGGGGATTTCTTAAGTTGGATTAGCAACAGTTTAGTTAATATACTTGTTTGGATAAGGAATTTGAGAATTCCAGGGGAAAGCGAAGGAACTTTGTCTGATTAAATAACAACCTTATCAGTTATCTGAGTGGGTTTCAAGGCCTGGTTTTGTAGATTTCAACAAGTGAGAAGTGTGTTGATAATATTCCTTTTCTTCCGCCATTCCTTACTGTAGTCGTTGGGACGCTGGCAGGAGCCTTTTTCTTATTTATATTAAAAAATAATATTCAAGAGAAAGCAAAATAGTTCTGATCCCTCATATTTTTGGGTTCGTTTTATTTCAAAGAAATGGACATCTGAAGCTGTAAGTTGCAATGAATCTGTTCATTTTCTCTCAGTGATTATTGTCATAGATCTTTTGTTTGTGTGTCTATATATATGTGTGTGTGTATATATATAGTTTCAAAAGAAAGGAAAAGTTTATGAAACGTTTTTCTTTAGGACATGATATTGCATAATCTTAATTCATGACATATGCCCAAATAAATTTATGATATTTACTTTATGATGTAATCTTGTTTCAGGGATTTTAGTTATGTGGGCGTAACATCTCCTGGAGTCTCTAAGCAATTCTGGGTATCTTTGTCAGCATGCGTTGGCTGGGTCTCTCTGTTGATGTATTTCGCAAAGTTGTCCGCTTGAATGTGTATTGTAAAGTTATCCTGTAGAGTAATATTCCATTAAGTTATCCGCTTTGTTATTTTTAATCCTTTGGTCTAAACCACAACCTATGGAAGCCAACCACTGTATGATCATTTCTTCTGATAAGTATAGAATTGGTTAAAGGATAGGAAGTGAAGAAGGTCCAGTATTGTCTCTTGAGCATCTCCTTGTTTGTTTCTTCCCTTTTCTAGCTGATTTCCATTTGGTCATATAATTTGGTATCGTCTTTATTCTATTTTATTGGGTATATTTTTGGCGTGCACATTTTGATTGGGTAGTGAGGCAAAGAATCAATAGACGTTATGGTGTGCCAAGCGGCAAGCCAAACAAGATTTCGGGCATTAAAACATGAGAATGGCATTGAAGGTGAACCAACAATCATTGTTAGAGTGATAGCATGCTTTCAACCTTTGCACGATTGTCAGGTTAGTATTCTGTTATTGTTAGTGTTTTTCCATTGCAGTTCTTTTCTTTTATTTGATGAAATTTCCCTTTATGTCTGTTGTGTGAAAAACTTACTTATGATCAACCATTGAATATTCTGAAGCTTCTATTATCAGTTATCAGATGCACTTTAAAGAACTCATCAATGTTATGTTCTGACATGCAGGCTGAGTACTTTCGTCATTTACTTAAGCCCGTCACGTAGATCGATCGATTTTATTCTGCATTTCTTTCTCGTTAAGCTGGAGTTTTTGGTTTTCCTTTTTAATCCTTTGTACCTCAGAAGTGCAAATTAAAGAAGATCCCTGTCAGAACACCATAAAGTCTCCTGGTATGCAGTTTTTAATGATCTTTTGAATTTTTATGGCTGAAAGCATCTCGTCTTAGTATTGAGTGATCGTTTTTATGTATTGTAGGTCATTGTTTTGTTGGATGGTTAAGGCTGACAGCTCCTGGCCTTGTCCACAGAATGTGGCTTGGCAAGCACATCATTTAAATTGCTCCCCCACATCACGGGAGCCAAGGTTATGTGGCCTTCCAGCAGACCTAAATACTAGCATGTGCAACTTTCCTGGACACAAGGCCTTTCCTGGATTCACATTTCCTGGTTTCTTGAATCTTGGGACTGTGCAAACAGAGGAATTGCGAGGATTCCTGCAGTATCCCAACCATCACCACTCTGGAGATATCCAATCAGTTTCAGAACAATGTTTGAAAGAAAGTGATATTGGAGGGGCCATGCCACACGAGAATCCTGCATCTTTACAGAAAAAGTTTCTTATTTTTGACCAGTCTGGTGATAAGACGAGGCTGTTCTACAGCCCAATTTTCCCCTTGGTTCATAGTCCAAATGTTGCTCCCTCTAAATTTATTCAAGCTTCTGGTGAAACTAAGATGGGACAGGCAGCTAGTACAGATGAAAATTATCCAATGAAATACAGTTTACCAGAAGACCGTAATGAAAATCATATTAATGTTGAGGAAAGTGAACTGCATGAGGACACAGAAGAAATTAATGCCTTGCTTTACTCAGACGAAGATGTTGATTATCATAGTGATGATGATGAGGTTGCAAGTACAGGTTGTTCTCCACTAGCAACTAAAAGACCGTGCGTGATGCAAGATCAATTTGAGAATATGAAGGAGGAGGTTGCAAGCTCGGACCAGCCGACTAAAAGGCAGAAGTTAAATGATGATGGGTTGGAGAGATCATCGCCAATCAACAGTGGTATTTCAGTAAGACAAGACGAGTCTTGTGACTACACCAGTGATGCAGAATCGAAGAATTCCACCAGCCAAGTGTATTCTGCTAAGCAAACTAGGGGGGAAGAGAATTCAATGATGGGTAATACTCATTTTAAAAAGGATAAGATCCGTGAATCATTGAAAGTTCTTGAGAACCTAGTTCCTGGAGCAAAGGGAAAGGAGCCCCTCTCAGTCATTGATGGAACCATTGAATACTTGAAATCTTTGATGTCCCGAAGTGGTACTCCTGGATTTGGATTGAAAGACTATTAAATTTAACTGTTCGCTGCTGTTCTTGTATGTTTGCTGTGGGAGACTAGAATGGCCAAGCTTGAATCAGCATGCTCCTTTTTCTTTATTTTATTTTATTTTATAATCCTCCTTCTCGAGGTTCTATTTATATAGCTGGTGAACAGAAGCAGTAATAACTAGTACTATATCTTGCCTCTGGGATTGCAGAGAAAATGGGGGATTGGTTGTATGGACCAGAATTATTATCTTTTAGCTTTTCGGAGGGTTAAAGATCAGAGGCCACAGGTTGCGGGGACGGGAGAAGGTGGTGGTGGGCTATGCTGTAAATGAGGACGCTTTTTTCCCCTCAAGTGTTGAACTTTCCTCTTGGTTGAATGCATGCGCGTTAGGTAAGTGGGGTCCCACTTTCCACCCTCCTTTATTCATTCTTGTTGTTATGCTTTTGTTGTCCTCTCTTTCAAGCTAGCACGCATATCATGCTGGCATAAATTCTAAAGCACCAACAAAGTTTCACATGTTGGAGGAGTGCTTGAAGATGGTGCGTGATTTATCATCATGGGTCTGTGCTGGGGCCCTCTCCCTTTATCTCTCTCTCAAATGCACCATTTGTGGTAAAAGGTTGCTTTGTTTTACATGCTGATGTTGGAAAATGACAAGCTCTTCTAGTTTCTAGGTTGTAATTGAGAGGCGGGTTGATTGTTGTTGGTGTCTTTTTCCTGATGCTGCTGTGTATTTCAGTTGAGTGAGTTTATGTGTGTGTGAATAATTGGGGTGTGATAATGGTGTGGCAGGTTTGAAATTTGAATGTATTCCAGCTTTATGACTGGCACATGGTTTACTTTCTCTTGATTTGTGTATTGTGTGTGGATCACTGTATTGTATGTTTGTGGATCAATTACTATGAATCTCTGATTCCTATATGGAGTGATTTATGTTTTTTTGGTTTTGTTGAGAAAACTAATTTTATTCCTTTGGCACTTAAAATTTCAAATTATTCTCACCCCCCCTTTTGTTTAAAAATTTGTATCGTGCTGTTAACTTATTGCTCTAATCATGTCTTCATAAGATAAAATGACCGTTTTAATAATGTATAATTTGCGCTAATGACGGTTACAGAAATTATTTCCAAGGAATCAAAAAAATAATCATACCATGATGTTTATTAAAAAGCCAAATTATGTAAAACTTCTTAAAATTTTAAACTATATACAAATAACTCCCTTAACTTTTAAGTAGTTAATAATAAACCTCCCTGAAGTTTTAAGTATATGTAGATAACCCGCAATTATATCTTTTATATTCTTTAAATTTTAAGTTTATACATATGATCTTCTTAAAGTTATATAGAGAAAAACTATTTAAACTTTAATTTTGGACTTTTAATGTCATTCCTCTTTTTATAAGCTGATTAACCATACAAATTTGCCAAGTAAGGAATACTGTTATGATCTAGAGAATCTTAATAATCCACCTAATGAGGGTTAAGATCTTTTGAATAATGCTATGATCTAATTCTATATTTTTTGCACGATTCTTGTCATGGCCTTGTGTGTGTGTGTGTGTGTGTGTGTGTGTATTTTGGAAAAAAATAAACTGATGAAAAGAATGTGTTCACTAATAGTCTTTTCTGAAGTGGGTTGGTCTAATTTTCTCCTTTTGTAATCTTTTTGAGCAAAGCAAAAAGGAGTAAAGGACAATGCCTTTAAATGATGCTTTAAAAATTTGGAAGTCAACATTATGGGGGGAAAGCTTTTTGTTCTTACTTTTTTTTATAACTATATAATTTTTGTTATTAATTAATTATAATTTAAGTGGTGTTAAATCTAAATATATGGTTCCAACTTCCAACATAATTTATTTCATTCACAAAAATTCAAACCCACGGATTTATTCATCCAATCAGTGTCCTTTATTGTATAATTATTGGTTTTGAGCATGTCACATGACTAGGAAATGGTACAACCTTCTTTGTGTTGGTTGGGATTCATTGTAAGGTATGGGGCTTGAGTCTTAATCATATCAGTACCATAATTGATTTTTAAGCATATCACATGAGAATCATTTCTTGTCACATCATTTAGTTTTCTGCCTTACATTTTTTTCAAACACATGTTTAAACCTGAAATCTTATTTAAGCGTGACGGGTAGTGTTATCACTAAAACAATTTACTCTTAAATGTATTGCATCTTTTTAAAAATTTGACGCACACGGGATATTATCACGTAATTGACCCTTTAATATTAGTTTTAGTATTTTATTCTAAGCTCTAAAGCCTCTTGACTTAACAATTTAACAAACATTTTTCAATACCATAATTGATTTTTCAGCATATCACATGAGAATCATTTCTTGTCACATCATTTATTTTTCTGCCTTACATTTTTTTTCAAACACATGTTTAAACCTGAAATCTTATTTAAGCGTGACGGGTAGTGTTATCACTAAAACAATTTACTCTTAAATGTATTGCATCTTTTTAAAAATTTGACGCACACGGGATATTATCACGTAATTGACCCTTTAATATTAGTTTTAGTATTTTATTCTAAGCTCTAAAGCCTCTTGACTTAACAATTTAACAAACATTTTTCAGTACCATAATTGATTTTTCAGCATATCACATGAGAATCATTTCTTGTCACATCCTTCAGTTTTCTGCTTTACATTTTTTTTCAAACGCATGTTTAAACCTGAAATCTGATTTAAGCGTGACAGATAGTGTTATCACTAAGACAATTTACTTTTAAAGTTGTATCTTTTTGAAAATTTCACGTACACAGGATATTATTACACGTAATTGGCCTTTTAATATTAGTTTTAGTATTTTATTTTGAAGCCTCTTGACTTAACAATCTAACACACATTTTTTCCTCTTATTTAAGAGGCACTTCATCTCTTCTTGCACTTCAATATAAAAGAAAGATGCTAATTTCATAATGACAATAATACACATATGAAAAAGGTGTAAGTCGATCACATACCTCTTTTATCTAATTTGAAATAATTCTATGAAGCATGTTTTCTTCCTAAAATCTGTCTACTTTTAAAGAAAAAACCTTGAAAAAGAAAACATACAAGTTTCATATTACGTTTTCTCATCTACATTTGTTATTTCTATTTTTTTTCCCTTACTATCCAAACGAGAAAAATGTATTTTCCCCTCTATTTTCTCCTCCAATTTTTCTTTCTTTCTTTATCTTTTCTCTATCCAAATATAGGATAACAAGTCCATTTTATAATGTTCAGAACATCCCAAGAAAACCTTAAAAATTAATGGATTTTTTTTATTTTCTAAAAGATTGTGAAATAATATTATTTTATGGAGGGATCCAGTTTTTTTTTTTTTAATCTAATTTGTTTCACTCGACCGCTGAGCATAGCATGACTGTCTTCTTGTAAATCAGGGCGGCCTTTTTGTGTCATTTTCCAATAATGAATTCTCTTTTCAATTAAAAAAAATCTGTTCTGGAGACACCTGGGCCCTTGTAAGTCATTGAGCCCAAACGTCTTATTTATTTAGCCCCCCTTAAGCCATCTTAAATTTTTATTTTCTTTTTGGTTAGGAAGACATGCTTTCTTGGGTTTTTTTTTACCAGCAGACATGCTTCTTGTTTAACAAAGTCGCTCTACGGGGTGTTTGAGAGGTCCTCGAAGCACTTCAAAAGGTGTTTTAAATCTGCTAAGAAAGCTGTCTATATTTAGTACTCTCCCGATCTTTAATATAAAACTTATTTAACTAATTTAATTAGATTAAAAAAGTTAGACAAGGTAGTTAATTATAAAAAATGTGACACATTTTTCCTAAAACACCATAATCATTTTTCTTAATATCTCATTTCCCTATTTTACTTGATTATGATTGAAGGCGTATCTATAGGGATAATTTAGAGAAAATTGATAAATATGATAAATGACTCTTATATTTATGATCAAAACTAACTCAACAATTGAGTCATATATTAAGGACCGGAAGAGTATCTGATATTGTTTCGAATATGATTGTCTCTAATAAGATAATACTTATACGTAGCAAAAAAAATTTTTTTTCCACACAAGTCAAAACAAAACTCTTTTTACATGCTTCAAATTTTGTAAAATTATTTTTAAAGCTGTGATTTGATTTTCATCTAAACATCATGACAAAAGAGACAAGTCCTTCACACATAGGGATCAAAATTTAAATAATACCAAGAGAAATGTCGTATTTAATTTCAACAGGTATTAAACTTCTTATTTGAGGCCAATTTCTTATTCGAAACATGGTCAGATACCAAATTTAAACTTCTATGACTTATAATTATCAAATTTCTCTTAAGCAATGTTTTGAATTGGAATTTCGTAGACAAAAAAAAATCATGTTGCAGAAGTTTTTCTTTAGTCATTATCTGACACAACTTGAATTTATATTAGCCAGTACTATTCTATACGAAAAGCCAAATCACTTTAATTAAAAGAAGAAAAATTAATTTAACTTAACCCGACGCTTAAGCCAAATTAAAAAAAACTAGAAAATAAAAGGTTATTATGCATCTACCAGAGTGTTATGTTACTTATACCCACTTAAATAAAAATAATCCAAATTTGGAAAACAGATATTCCAAAAATACTTTAGTTACTGAGAAAATAAAATTTTGGTTTATTTCATTTAAATTATATACTCCTTCGGTCCTTAATATACGATCTAATTAGAAGGTTAATCTTGATCCTAAATATAGAACCTATTTATCTTATTTACCAATTCTTTTTAAATTACCCCTATTGAATAATTAAATACCACAATAATACTTGTTACTTATTAATAATACACCTATATATTTTATAAAGTGAGTGAGTACTTATTACTAATTAGTTCCACACATATATCAATTCTACCATTTTATATTTTCATAAATACTAAGTATATAATTTATAAAAATTCGTACTGTTTATAAATCATTAGTAATATTGCTTATTCTTTGTTCCATATGTAAAATACACATATGCAATTCTGTTTACATTTAAGTTTTTTCTTTAACTTTTTAAGCTTTAACTTCTTTTTCAACCCCCAAAAAAAAAACCTTTGTCTTGCACTATGTTCCCATTAAAATAAGAAATATTATAACGTTTAAATAAAATATAAAAAATTGGCCCAAAAAAATAAAATATAAACAAATTTAGACTGATGAATTTTTTTATGGCCAGTCCAAATTTAAAGATAAGCATGCCATAGTGAAATCCACTTGTCTTTGTAACATTTTGAGTCCCTCTATATAGTCTTGTCATTTAGCTAAAGTATTATCATTATTAATTATTAATTATTAATTATTAATTATGATGATTATGATTATGATTATGATTCAGGAAAACATGATTTTACTGCAATATCTAATCATGTTTCCTTCTTTATACTTCGTGGCCTTAATTGTTATCAGATTCAATTTCATTGTCACTCAAGCAGAACTAGTTAGGCTCCATTTATTTTATGATATATTTTGCCTCTAAACACTGACATGAAAATTATGAGACAATCATGCTTACGATTTTTTTTAAATACAAATATATTTAAAAACAATTAAGTTTTTGAAAAATGTTAAAAGATAAGTCACAAATATTAGTTTACACAGTTGTAAATATATAAATCTTTGTTGCAAATCAATGGGAGTGCTCATAAAATTCATACGACTGATTCACAATGGAGATTCCCAAAACTACAATTATCTAAACTAATATTTAAAATTATCTTTTAATTAAAAATTTTTAGGAGATAAATTCTTGATTGGCTGCGGATTATCCTTAGAAAATACAGCTTTTCTTGTAGGAAATATTACTTTCATTGAAGATAAGTAATATACAACTGAAAAAAAAGTTGTATTAAGAACCGTTTTGAACAAATTTCATGTATTTTTAGACACAATTAAATCATAGAGTGCAATGCTGTTTGGCGATTCATGTAGCCAATCCTACTTAACAGTTGTTAGGCAATTGTATGAAGTTGGAAGAAGTTTATAAACCCTAAAAATGAATTTCACCTGCTAATCTCAAACAAATTTCAAGTAGCTTTAATTTAAGCAATAAATATTTCATTGGGTATTTTTTCAACAATTTCTCCTTTTTTTATTTTTCTCCTATTTCTACTAATTTTTTCCCTACATTCTAATAGGTTTTTGGAAAACACCAAAAAAGTGTTTTTTTACATAAATTGAGAAAAATTTTTTTCACATATTTATCTCAAAATTGGTAAAATTACTCACAAGAAAACTGATCCAAATACTTCTAATAGGTATTCTAATTTCGCATTGCTTCTAAAAAGTCAGTAACAGTTGAGAGTGACTTTGTAGTGCCAAATCTGGACATCGGGATTGTGTCGCTGAGGCAGATGACTATCAGGGGGAAAAGTACTGGTAACAACGAAAGCACATTACATTTTTGTCGTTTTTATTTTCTAGGGATTTCCGTTGAAAGCATTGCAGCGACATTATTGGTTGCATTATTCATTTCATCTCCAGAAGCAGCCGCCATGATCGACGTCGTCGTTCCTCTGTCAATTGCTAGTCCACGTATCATGTTTTGACAGCGCAATCGCAAAAAAATCTGTCGCTGTAAGTCATTCTATCGAAGAAATTGTTTCTGAATCGGTCTGATACTCTGGATTTGGAATTTCTTTGTTTGCCCCATCCATAGTCTTGTCATGATGAAGCAGAAGAATCATCCTTGTCTTGCTTGCGGGATGACATGATTTTTGCTGGAAACATCTAATCATGTTTTCTCCTTTATCATTCGTGGTCTTAATTGTTTGATATTACTGGCAGAGTGATCATAGTCTCACGTTTTTCGAACTCTGAAGATACAAATTGGGGACCCAAGGCAAGAGAGCTGTCAAACCAAAGAAAATTGGGTCAAAATTAATGGTCACCTCTGTTTTAACTCTTCAAAGTTCAAACAGCAACTTTGGTGGGGTAGGGGTTGCTGAGGGGTGTTTAAAGTGATTAGGCAATATTTGAATCATGAACTTGTAGTTATAGTGTTAGTGTGGGGTTGCATCATGTGTTCACTTAATTTTTTTTATAATATTTAATATTCAGTATTATCATATTAAACTCGAATCTTTATACTTAAATCTATTAAGACTAACATCGCTTCAATTTATCTAATTTTTTTCCCCTTTCTAATCACGCCAAAATGATAGTCACTACAGTACCTAATAACAATTATTTTTTTTGTCATTAATTTTTATCCAGAAACAAATATTACATCTATGTGAAAAATTACCTTTTCCCCTTCATTTTGTTCCCTTTTTCATTTCATTCTACATAAGCATTACTTAAAATTATATGCATTGTAGTACAATTTCTAGAGCCCATTTAAAATGGCTTATAAGCAGCTTTTCAATCGTGATCTACGAAATATGAAGTGAGTATATGAGAGGAGTTTTATCTCAACTTACGTGAAATGTGCCCATGAGTGCTTTTAAACGTGATTCCCAATATGTCCTTATTCACCTTGATTAGTGTGCATTATTTAAAACCTCTATGATACTGATGGGGTAAAATCTAGTCTTAGTGGTTTTTTTTTTTTTAAATTATGCACAATCTTTAATATGAAGTTTTACAGAATTTAGGAGCGATTAAAGACGCTGAGTAAAAAATTTTAATTTGTGGCTGAGCAAACAGAATAAAAAGTAAAAATATGGCCAAACTATTAGGCATTAAAAAGTTGGGTATGTTTTATCAAAACAAGGTGTTGTGTTTTTTATGTGCCCTCCAAATCAAAATGTTTAATGAGGAAGATTGCTATGTCTAACCAGTGACCTGTATAACTTTTACTATGCTACGTGTAACGTCGATATCCAAGAGGAAACTGAACAAAAATGATTAATTTTATTATGGATTGAAGTGCTAGGGGAACTCGCACATGAAAATTATGATTCTCTCTTGGAGACAAATTCAATTTAGCTAGAGCTTTTCAGCAATTGCTTTCAGAAATGGAAAGCGAAACAAAGAAACCCCCGTAAATTACTCTCCAAGAAGCCAAAAAACTGAATGAAAAGAACACATGTTTCAGAATCTTCCGTGTTTCAGGAAATTGAATTTCTCCACCTTCTTGGTGGCTTCCTGTTCTGTTCTGCAGTAGGAGGAGGAATCTGAGGAGCAATATCATGATTCTCCATGTTTGTCATTTTGGTAAGTTTGCTTAGTTTCTTCCACCCAGTGCTCCAAGCTGATGCCTGCTTCTGCTTCAGCACCTTCTCGAACTGTTTCTGCAGATTCTCCATATCATTTTGCAGCTCCAAGTACTTGGCTTTCACACTCTCAAGCTCAAACTTGAGTGTGTTTATGTCTTTCTTAGCAGCTGTCCATCCTTCTTGGAATGACTGTGGTGTAGCTTCTAGAAGCGTCTTTCTGTTTGAGATCATTGGTTGGTATTTAGACTCTGCACCACCTTCTTTCAGAGAACTGCTGGCTATTGCATTGCTTATTTTGACTTGTTCAGAGAAGAGAACTTGCACCACAACTCTTAGTGGAAGCCTTTCGTTCTGAGCAGCATGCATGCAGGCATCAATGGAGAGTTTCTGACAATCCATTACCCGGCAAAGCCGCTTCCTTTCGTGCTCAGAAAGTGTAGGATGTGCCTGCAAAACCATCAGTAGAAGTGAAGATGAAGTTCTACCACGAATAAGCTTTTCATGTATAAGTTTAGCTTCTCAGAACTTTAAGAAGTATTAGCACTTAACAAGAGTCAAATGTCTGTGTCTGACATGTGCGCACAGACTCATCAGACAAAATTCGATACTTAAAAGTTACACATACACGTTTGAACTACAATATTTAGGTTGTTCACTGAAAACCCATGATCGATTTTTATGAATATGTCTAACATTAACATAGAAGAATCACTGTAGCAGATTTATTTTACCTTTAGATAAGAGTCAATGGCTCTGTAGAGTCCATCATCACAGGTCCTAGCTGATTCAGGCAACGCTTCAGCCAGGACCTGAAACTTTGTGAGGGAAAGGTTTCTGTCTCTGGACACTTCGGTAAGATAACTATCAACAAGCCTAGCCACTCTGGTCTTGGCAGTTAAATTACTCCCTCCCACTCTGCCAGGACTTGAGTTCTCAGTCTGTTCTTGAACCAGAAAATGCTCAAGCAGCCTCTGAATCAGATCTACATCATAAATGGTCTCACTTTGGTCATAAGAAGGAATCAATAGATCAGCCGGTGTAGCTTGTTCAAGTTGCATTCCCACCCTTTTCTCTAATTCAGTGACTAATGCAGGCGCAACTTTCAGCATGTTTGCCATTCTCAGAAGCCTAAGAAGGAAGCTGCAAGAGACACTATCCTTCTGTGGTGGGATTATGCTTATAAGACTCTCTATGATCATTCTTTGATCTTTAGCTTGAAGGCTTGAAGTTTCATCCCTTTTTCCAGTCACAACCATATGAAGCCCACCTTTCCAGCTACCTCCACTGTTACTGCTGCTGCTATTACTGTTACTATTACTACTTGCTTCATCTCCAAAGTTTGCTGTGTCATTTATTAGTCCTGGAAGCCACTTAGTTGCATAATGCATTATTGATGCTCCGATGAGTTCATATCTCATTCCTTTTACTTTTATTGCAGTCATGACTCGAACAAAATGATCGATTCGAAGGATTGAAGCATCCTCAAACCACCAATCTGGAGGAACCTGCTGGTTCCTACCGGGGCTTGATGATTCCTTTTTGTCGCTTGAAACTTTTGGGGGTCTACCAGTGTAGGACCACTTTATCCCTTTTGGATTGGCACAAGCTTTCCAGGCTATGGACTCACTGCATCTTCTAACAATCTGAAGGTTCTCTGCCCATGGTGACAGCTTCTCACAGCTCTTCAATACTACTATGGAGTCTCTCCATGACGATAGGACCACATAGCTTAGAAATGCCTCGGTTTTGAATATGAGATTGCCTTCTTCTAGATCTTCCGTCATCTCAAGGTATTCTGCAGCACATCTTAGGCCTGAGATGTTGCCTGCCGTTAAATCCACTGCAATTCCGTAGCAGAACTTTGCAGCTTGCTCAAAGGCCTCAGCCCCACCAGGTAAATCATCCATAGCTATCTTGTTCAAATCTGGGTCGCGTGACTCGTATATGATCCTGTTTAGCTTTCCACTTCGAGAAAGAAGAGGATACTTTCCCGAGAAAGTGTGAGAAAAGGTCAGAAAATTTAACAGTACATGAAGACCACAACAGTACAAGTTGGATAGAAAAAAGAGTAGCTACCTTGTGTAAGTGGAAGTTAGCTCCTCCAATTTGAACAAGAAGATCACTTGGAATATCCGTTGCAACATACCTGCATATGCCAAAAAGTGTTTAAGCTTCTTACAGGGTCTTCAATCTCATCTAACTCTTCTGAACCAACTTGTTCAAGATTAATGACTGTGATTCAGTCGCATTAGCAAAGAAGATTAGTTAGAATATATTTTCAAACACACCGATTCTGCTTTAGCTTCTGAGATGGAGACATGGATATAAATTAATGGGTAGAAATAAAATCATCAGAAGTTTCAAGCTCTAGCTTCTGCGATTCACTAGAACTATCAAAACAAAAATCAACAACAAAAGTACTGATTCTGCATTTATTTTTCTTCATACCAAGATTGGCCTCTTTGTTCGAACCCTTCTGTCTTAACACCTTGCTTGGTTGGAGTCAGAAGCCCACCTGCATAGCCCCTTCCTGCTACAGATTCGTTGTCAGATTCCCACATGCTGGAAACCACAATCCGGGCGGAATAAACGTGTTCGGACTTCGGAGCTAGATTTTCCCGGGAAAGTGGGTTAAAAACGAACAGGAAACACAAAGCAGAGAATCACTCAGAGTCTTGACAGGAAGAAAAGAAGAAGAAAGAAGAAGAAGAAGAAGAAGAAGGAACAAGTACCCACATGGAATGATGGTCGGGAATGGAATAATGGTCAGAATACTTGTCGGTTTCTGGAAGAAGTTTGAAGAAATCCTTCTTACAGGCTGTTCAGAAATGGGCACACTGGACAGAGTGGTGTGGGGATTACTGTTTTTTCTCAGATGATAATGGAAGGAAGAAGAAGGAAGGACAAGAAGTTTCAGGGTGCTCTGAGAGGAGCGGCCATAGATACATACATTAATGTCTCCATTGTCTAAATTCTCTTGAAGATATGCTATTGAGAGAATTTATTGCAATCCCAAAACATTCCTCTGTTGACGATAAAAGCATGAAAGACACTTTTCCATGGCCAGGGCAGGTTGGAGTTCGTAACATCTTAATCCCATAATTACGAGCTTGCCACTTCATTATGAGCAGAATAACTCACTGTTTGACCATAATCCACTTTGGAAAACTAATAATAGACCAGAAATTATATCTGTGTGTGTGGGTATATATAGTATAAAGCATATGTTATGCTTACATTTTTGTAATAATTAGACATGTTTCCTTATCTATTTTTGATAGCAGATTTGTATTATTAACTGTCTATCAATAATAGAGTATACTCCTCCGGTCCTTATTATAAGACCCCATTTGACTTTTTATTTGGTCCTAATTATAAGACCCCAATCCATTTTATCTCTTATATTTATGCATTTTTTCTAAGATAATCCTTCTAATAATGATAGTTTTAGCCAATATACTTAATTAGCAAGGATATTTTAGGAATGACAACACTTATTTATTATAAATAACTAACTTAACTTACTTCCTTAATCTCCTCAAATAAGTCAATTGGGTCTTATAATTAGGACCGAGGAGTATTATTGATAGGGTAGAAGTTATATTTATATATTGACGATATTTTGACAATTGATTTCTTTCTTTAGGTCTATTTAAAAATTATTAATAATTTAGTATCTGAGAGGGAAAATTGGTGAAATGGCTCATCCAACGTAACAAAAGGGACAAAACGGATAAGCACATGTTTGATTAAAGTTTTTATTTAAAAATCACTTATATATTTTTATTTTATTTAATATTGATTAAATAATTTAAATGTTCATTTAAAAACGTAAAATTTTAAGTAAAAAAAAAAAAAGAAGTGGTAGTGAATGGAAGTTAAACATGGCCACTATCTACATCAGGATGAATGCTGGGGCCTATTCTCTCTCCAAGAGGTATATTTCAAAAGTCACAGGCTTGAACTCCAATTATGCTTCACGGAATTACTTTGTACCTATATTCTAAAATTTCAATAAGTAAATTTATTTTAACATTAAAAAGAAAAGAAATAAATCCACAGCATCTAAATCTACCATCTAAATTCCTTGTATTTAATAAAATATACACAATATACGTTACAGACTGATAACAAAACATTAAAAAAAAACAAATTTTCAAATTAATTAATATATTATATAAAAGTGTAATAGATAAAAAAAATTTATTGCATTAAGAGTTTGAATTGATGACTTTAACTTTGATAAAAAAGGAATTGATAACTTGTATTCATTCCTTCTTCAATTCTTACCACTTGAGTTAGCTAAGACTGCAGCAAGAATTCAAATGTTTGTTTTATTAATTTTTTGTAGTATTTTGTTGATGTGATTACTGATTATTTTATTAATTAAACGATTGAATATTTGCTCTTAATTGGTTTAAAAAAAATAAATGAATCAAATTTACTTTATATATGCATATGCATAATGATAAAAATATAGAAAAAGGAAATAGAATTTTAATGGGTGGTTGTGAGTGGACCAATCCAAAACCAAACAATGGGAAAGACAAATCTGAGAAAGCAAGGTACATTTCAGAGAGACAAATTGAAGCTCTCCACTCCAGTCCTGATAAGGTGGGCACAGGAAACAAAATTCAACAACCAAACACTTCCTTCACATTTTACCTTCACTCAGTAGTTATTCACTTCTCAATTTCCTTTTTTCTTGTGTACTTCTCTTACTTAAATATAAAAATTAGTTAAAAATTGCTTTTGATCCTAAATATAGTATCTTAAAAGAACTATTTGATCATGCCTATTTAGGCTTTGTTTGGTATCCTTTATGAGAATGAAAAGGGATTCTATTACACAAATATCATACTCAGCAAAATCTGTTATACCCATATTATTATCACTTAATAAAGTATTAATGACTATATATTTTCTTGCTGGAAAAAATTAACTATATATTTTCTTCTTGTTATTTTTTAAGAAATATTAACCTAAAAGTCTTTGTAGTCTCATTTAATTTTCAATAATGTCCTTTTAATTTTTTTTCTTTTAATCAGTCACATAAGATATAGGGGCTCGATTAAAAATTAAGTGAAACCATAAGAATCTAATAAAAAAATTATGAGGATTGAATTAAAAATCAGGTGAAATTATAACTTAATAAAAAACAAAAACTTAATTAAAAATCATGAAAAATTATATGGACTTGCAAATTATTATTTTTTTAAATTTTTATATTCAAAGGTATAATACTCATCTTTCATCTAAAAAATATTTTTTTTTATATTTTTTTTTTTTTTCCCCATTTCACTCTATTCTATTCCATTCCATGTACCATAATCATTTTTTATCAAGCAATATATCATGGAATCAATGAAGAAACAAGTTGGTAGGTGCCATTGAACCTTTATCATCATCTTTTGAAGGAAACTTTGTGGTCTATTTCCCACATTAAATGTTTTTTTTTGTAATTTTGTTTGTTTTCTTTTTTCCCTTATAAAAAGTCAATTTCACACCATTGTTTATCTCATTCACAAATCACAAAAAAAAAAAATGAAAACAAGAAATTTTCCTTAAAAAAAAAGAAAGAAAAGAGCCAAGAAATTTTGTAGGACCATATCCATCTTCATCATAGATGACATAGGCCTAATGTACTGCTTCTTGTTACCTTCAAAGAAATGATAAGGAGGCCCCCACCAAATATTCAATATATATCTCTATATATATATATATAATTGAAAATTCTGAATTAAATATGCCCACATAAAAAAAAACATGTTAAATCAACTTGTCGGCTAAGTGATAAGGAAATCAATGTCCTTTAAACAAAATAATAAATTTAAACTTATTAATGGAAAAAATTATATTAAAAAAAAATCTCAGCTTGGACTAATCAAGTTCATATTCAAATTATTAAAAAATCTTTAATCATTATCAAATAAATGTTTTCAGCATAAAACATTATACCCCTCTGGTCTTTAATATGAGACCTAATTGTTAAGTTAATTTTAGTTCCAAATATAAGACATATTTCTCATATTTATTAATTTTTTTAAATTATTCCTATGAATACTCTCTCAACCATAATCAAGTAAGAATATTAAGAAAGATGATTATGGTGTTTTAGAAGAAACATGTTATATTTCTTATAACTAACTAACTTACTTAATTTTGTTAATCTCATCAAATTAGTTAAATAATCGGAGGAAAACTCTTCTTTTAAAATACTTTTGTTTGCTACGGATTTGGCCAGTTAGCATTTTTAAACTCAAATCTAAATAATTTATTTTAAAAATGTGAATTTCTAATACTCACATAAACTCAAATGGATGGATAATGCACATTTTAATTACTTTACCTTTTCTTTTATTATTTTTAAATTATAAAAACAAATACTAACAGTTTAAGATTATAAGTATATAATCAAACTTACAACCTTTCAATTATAGAAGAATTTTTATATTACTCATCCGGTTCTAAATATAAGACTTATTTTATAACGTAAATTATACTATAAAATGAGTTTTATATCTACTATGAGAGGTAGGAGTATAAGATTACAAGACATTTGCTACTTTTATCACCTGAAGGTCCACTATAAAGTTTTCTCCACATGGTGTGATTGTTTTGTGTTTGTGAAGGGATATCTATTAATAATGATAGGGTTTGCCCAACTTTTTCCTGTTATGCCTCTGTGCATCAGGTTCATTGCTTTGTTAGGACAAGACAATTTTCAGCAGTTCCCTCCGTACATTAAATTGCTTATTTTCTTTAATATTACAATATAATCCATAAAACCAAATTTGCGCACTAATAAAAATATCCAACAGCAATTTTTTATTATTTTGCTCTATACACGTATCATCTACTCGCGCACACATAAACAAAAAAGATCCTGATGAGTAAAAATTATTGACTAATGAGGAATAATGATACTATGTTTTTTTTCTTTAATTTTTACACAAATCACTAAGGTGGAATATAACTAAAAAGAATGTGATATATATTAAAGGGGGTCCCTATAAATAAATGCGATTTTATTGAAAGATAATTGGGAGGGGAAGAAATGATTGGGTGCTTTTTGCAGAGACTATTGTCGATGAAGGAGTTGTCATCTGTTAGGCAGGCAAATTTGACAGAATAAGATACGAATTGTTATGGCAACCTTGCCTCTTCCTTGTGCCAACTCATTATATATCTTCAATGTACCAATCACCATGTCTGTAGAGACACACACACACCCACAAGTAATTTTATTTATAAGTTCTCAGTAGTATATGACTTATTTTTTAAATTCCATAAATATATAAGAAATAATGAAATATGTCCTCTTTGAAAAGAAATGAAAAATATTAAATATCTCAAAAACTTATTAGAACTAGAGGTTGAACTTTTGTAAGATCTAGGCAATGCAATGGATGGGGGAAAAGCAATGCAGCGAGTAAATAAAAAAAGGGAGAGAATTACAGCTGAGTTCTAAAGAAGAAACTTGATTACCAAACTCCTAATAACAACCTGAACAGTATGTAATAACAAGTTTCAGAATAAAAAATCATAACTTTTAATATTCATTGAGGCTTACTAGTAGTTGTTTTTCTTTATCGGAACTTCATTATAAGTCTCTCAAAATGGAGGCTCAGTGGGCACTAGTGGGTCTCATGATGTGTGGAGTAAAAAGACTTTTGGGCATTCCCAATAGATATTTATTACTAATCTGGATTTGAGTTAGATAAGATTCTAAGTAAGGATAATTCTCTTAAGCACATGATCCTTATTCCCATAATCCCATTGTTCCAAGGATCAAACCCATAATTTCTTTCTCTTATTACATTACCTACATCATTGACCAAACAATTACAATCATAGCTTTTTTTTTTAAACATAAGTATTCTTTTTATTGAAAGTAATTTGTTTGAGGTACTGTATTAAATTTTTAAAATTTATGGCATGTCTCTTAAAACTTAAAAAGCAACTATAAAAAAATACTTATAATTCAACAACCACAGATATTGAATATATAATATTTTGAGATATAAATTTGGGAAAATGACAATAAAATACCACTTGAATTCCAAAAAGACAAATAAGGCACCTGAATAAGCAAAATGACAAATAGGGCACTGGGTACCAATCTGGAATTCATATTTTCGGCCAAAAGACCAAAATGCCCTGATGAAATGGGGGAAGACAGACGCTGAAAGTGAGAGAAAGGAGAGAGGAAGACCGACGCAGTGAGAGAAAGGAGAGAGGAAGAC